CTGCCGCTCCTGATGTTTTGGAGCGAAAATTCAAATCAAAGAATATGTTTCCGCTTTGTCTGCAGATGAATCTTCGTAGATCGGTTTAATTACTTCCCACATTTGATCACTAACAATAAGAGCTGGTTGTACGTCATGGATATTGCAGGGTAGCACGCTATGGGCTGTGTGCGATGTTCTTTAAATATCTATAACTTTGTTATTTTTACGAATTCAGAAAATTAGAAAGACAAATGAATTTTTTGAAAAGTCTAGAGTAGAATACCCCCTTAAGTTGCTAATTTTGCTCATTTCCACTTTCCTAAGGAACCTCGAAATTCCCAAAAAACATTCAACGAACTTAAAGCAGCTACAAAACATCAAAATACCGCGCGTACATAGTCGACGTCTAAAAATACCCTTCTGCATTCTGCTTAGAAATCGTTTTCCAAGTAACCTATTGCCGGACGCATTTCCTCGCGAAATTCTTTGCATAATTCTTCAATAGATAGAAACAAAGTTGCGGGAACGCCTGGTGTGTATTATACAAAGGCGTGTTCGAAGGCAATTCGTGTAAGCCAGGTACATATTTTCTCCTCGTCCCCACCTTCACATGTTTCCTACGATACGGTATCGATAAGTTCATTGGAATCCTCATTTATAATATTTTCTACTTTCAACGACGCGACACGAGTTACACTACCTCTATTTTCTTCTCCTCGTTCAAAGATGTAATCAATTTTTTTTTCAAAACTTTCTCCAATTTTAATGTTTGCAAAGATTTTTTTTTGCTATAATTGTTTATTATAAAGCTTTGCGACAAATGATAGTTAACGTAAGTGATTGGAAGTATGATTTAACACAACTCGTAATACAAACACAACGACTGTCAGGCAATTCTAATGGCTCTCAGAACTCTAACAATAAGACAATTCTGACAGCACTTAGACGATACTTACAACACTTAGGAGACTCATACAACACTTCGACGACTCTTACAAAACTTGGTAAATTTTCATATTCT